TGATTCAGATATTAGTTAATATTTTTTTTTGCAGTCTATATTGCTACAGAATTACACCTTCAACCCTATACTATACTTCGGCGCTATACAATTACGAGTAATAATTAATAAAAAAAATGGTAACGAACACGGGGTACATTTAAAATATCGAAAGGCAACCCTATTGTCGTGACGTCACCATTTCGACTTGTGACCAGCCAGTTGATTGGTTAATCCGACTTTAAAAGATGGCACGGCACGCCTTTGTTCTCAATGTCATTGATTGTCAACCAACCTGTGATTTTGATGTTTGATCATATCGAAGGAACAAAGTTATTCATCGGGATGTTTTTAAAACTTTCTCGTGTATTTAGACCATAGAAAGACTTAGTTCTTGAGCCTTCCTGAGTGCAATCAACAGTGACTATATGGTTTATAGTGTTACTGGATTATCTTCTCTAAATGACAAGCGTAAAAAAATTATATAATCTTTGTGATCTAAGGTAAACAAAAACTAATCGTAGTTGGGCAAAATGGTAGTTATGTGTTCACACCAATATGAATTACTTTTTGGAGGTATACAAGTATTATCCCTTTTCTTAATTTTACTCTCATCTTATCATCTCGAGAATATAAAAAAATACTTTATCCGGTGCTTTCCGTATCGAAGTTTTGCAGATATACATAGTTAGCAATTCGTTATTTTTATAATGTCTCCCTTCTTAACCCATGCTTCTCTTTTGTTTAAAACTTGAAGATATAAAAACCCCTTTGGAAACTCTACAACAGATTAACCAGAAATACAGTCAAATGAGTGATGACGTTACTGTGAAGCTAGCCAAAAATGCAGCATTGCAATTTTAAATTTTTCATTAAAAATGAACACATAGATTTCCGTGAATGAAATATGTGTTGACGTGAATAATCAACAGGAAATACAAAAAAATCAAAATTATAGCGCATAGATGTGTCGCTGAAACTTTCCTGGCATTCACAAGAAAAACTGGAGGTAGAGTATTTTCCAAAAGAATTTAAACGGAATGTCAGTATTTTTCATTCAAATATATCCTTTATTGTAATCGCACACACTTTAGATAACGTTTTCTGGAAGTTACATAGGTAGGTATACAGGGTTATCCAAATTAAGTGTCCACCATTAGTAACTTTGTTATTAGTGAACATACAAAGTTGTTTGAATTAGCAAACTAGTAGCATTTTTAACGCTGGTAAAAATGAGAAATAAAAAAAAACAATTGAGAGTCGTTATTTTGATTTTTTTCAGTAAAATAACATTTTTTTAAATGGAAACCCCTGTATATTATATTTTTTTCTGTTAAAGCATCAAATTTTAAACAAAAAAGTTCATAATGACTTTTCCGCTAAAGTCAAAAATAAAGTCAAAATAACGATAAATATTTTTAATTATTTGCAGTATTATAATATTAAGACGGCTATGAAAACAACATGGCGTTCGCGATTTGACAGCATTAAGATAAGCGACAAATTGTTAAACTGGACATACTCGCAACTAGAAGGCTTTGGAAAACAATGATAAAATCAAATAATGTCAAACATTAGTGTAAATACTTGTTTATAAGCTTTATTGTGTCATTAATTTAAAGAAAAATTTTCTCCCATGAAGAAAAGTGTGATATGTTAGAATGCTATTTAGTGTGCAGAAAATCCTCCTTGAGAGCAAGAGAATACTACAGTGAATTATATCCCGCTCGCATTCAACCGTATGAACGATATTTTCTGAGACTTTATCGAAAATTTAGGGGCAACGAAAATGTTTTTGCTAAAACAAGGGCAAAAAACGAATTCATAATAAGCGAGGCCACGGAAATTGCAGTTATTGAATATTTTGAAGCTTATCGTGAGAATTCAATAGCAGATATTCTCAAGGACTCTAATTTCAGTTATGGTACTGTTCAAAGGATTTTAAAAAAATACAAATTTATTCCGTATAAGTACCGACCAGTTCAAACGCTTTTGGCAGGGGATCCAGAGAGAAGACTTGTTTTTTGCCATTGGTATCTTAGCTTCTGTCGCCAAAATGTAAATAACTTTCGTTACCTTTTATGGACAGATGAGTCAAATTTTTCAAATTCTGGAATGTTTAATAGAAAAAACCACCATTATTGGTCAAGAGAAAATCTTTTGTTAGTACATCCAAGAGGCCCACAAGTCCGTTTCAGTTTCAACGTTTGGTGCGGTATAATTGGTTCAAAAATTGTTGGCCCGTTCTTTTATGAGGGAACCATAACTGGTGAAAGATATGTGGAATTTATGTCAGAAATTCTGACTAATTTCTTAGACGAATTGGATCTTATAAGTAGACATCATCTGCATTTTCAGCAAGATGGCGCACCTGCCCACAACTCCAGAGGTACTTATCATTTTCTAAGTACTACTTTTAATGATCAGTGGATAGGAACAAATGGCCCAATACAGTGGCCTCCCAGATCACCAGATCTAAACCCACTTGATTACTTCTTGTGGGGTTACTTAAAGAACCAAATTTACAAGCGAAGGTACGATAACCTTGACGCGTTAAAGACTGCAGTTAGGGAAAAGATAACCCAGATAGATGGTAGGACCATACTTAAGACAGTTCGAGCAGTTGAAAAAGTGCCCAAAAATGTATTGAAGAACAAGGTGGTGTTTTCGAGCATCTTCTTTAAAAAAAATTGTTATTGTATTTTGTAAGATTATAAGTTGATGTTGAAAATAAAGTTTGTCGATACAATTTAATTGTTTCAGATTGGAGGCCATAACTTCAACAATTTGTAACCTAGGAGAAAAGTTATTGTAAGCTTTTTTGTTTAAAATTTGATGCTTTAACAGAAAAAAATATAATATACAGGGGTTTCCATTTAAAAAAATGTTATTTTACTGAAAAAATCAAAATAACGACTCTCAATTGTTTTTTTTTATTTCTCATTTTTACCAGCGTTAAAAATGCTACTAGTTTGCTAATTCAAACAACTTTGTATTTTCACTAATAACAAAGTTACTAATGGTGGACACTTAATTTGGATAACCCTGTATATGACTTATGTATAATGTCGGTCTGTTAGTAGGTACGCTAATCTTTGGCCCGGCTAACTTGGAAAGTATGTACCAATCAGATTGTGGTAAAATTTTCACACAATTGTACTATACCAAACACGGAAAAGCATTTAGTTTTTGAAAATCGCTCCAGAGGCTGCGGAGACAGGAGCAAAAAGCGAAAAAAATCGCTTGAAGTTCGTATTTTGACGTTTCACAGCTCTTGATCATTCATCAGAAAAAATTTGCAGGAGTCGGGTATGAGGTAAATGTTGAATATTTGGTATCAGTTAAACATTTTTTATTGTTTAGAAATTAGTAATCCTCGTTGTATCACTCACTTGTTAGACACAATGTCACACATATTTCGCATAATATTTACGTCTGCCACTCCATCAATTCCAGCTACCCGAGAACCGCGGGGTCCAGATTTTATGCACTTTGTAGTCAGGGAGAATTACATCAACAATCTAGTAATATTCATTCTATAACATTAGCTGTTTCCATGGGCGGGAAATACTACATATACCAAAACGTACGAAAGTTGATTCAGATACTATATATGGTGCATATTCAAAGTACATTTGTGCAAAATAACGTGGGAAGGACAGAGTAATTCGACTTGACGCCATTTTTTGACATTCATGCAATGGTGTATTTCGCAGGCAAGCTGAAGAGATCTAAAGGAAGTCATCGTCTCTTCCATGCACGCATAAAAACATATAATTTAATCAACTCTTTCACACATCTTTCTCGGCTGGTCTACAGCTTAGCGATGACAGCATCACAAACGATAAATTCATTTTTTTTAGTCAATGGTCCCGTTCACAACGTAGTGCTGCTGTAGCGATACTTTACTTTCAGCTGGACGTAAATGATCACTTGGAGCGCTACCGGAGCGGTCGTCGTTTTCTCTCTCATAACCAAAATATGCTCCGCTCCTCTCCTCATGAGGTTCAGTGTTTTGTGTTTGCTTTTCCCGGTTTTGAAAACTGAAGATGTCTTGTTAAAATGATGAACAAATAGGAGAAAATGGGGAAACAATAACTTACAAGTATGAAACATCAACAATACTAAATCAGCGATGTTCATTGTGAGCTACAAAATGGTAAAATTTCGTTCAAATGTCCACCTTTAAACTTTTGAATCGTTTTTACTTTCCTATGCCAAAACCATGTCACTCATTTCCGTCGGTCTGTCGGTCGGTCCACTAATTTTATAACCGCCTATATCTTGAGAAGCAACGCTCGAAATTTTAACACAAGGTTACTACTGGGCCAAGGTTGAAAAAGATTTGTATAGTTTTTGGAAATCGTTCTAGTGTGGCGAAGCCAAACACAAAAACACAAGGAAATAAAAACAGCTTAAACTTCGTTTTTTGACGTTTCAGATGCTCTTGATCATTTTCCTAATTTTTTTTGCAGATGTTGAAACTTTGGGTTTGTTGGAGGTACGGGGTTGAAAATATAACGTCTTTAGTATTAGTCAATGGCGTTTTAGCATTAAGAAGCTTCTGATCCCGGTAACAACGCGAAAATTAAATGATAAAAGTCCGATGTACAATGTGCCATAATTCGAAATAACTTTGCAATCGTTGGTCGACTGTGCAATGGGGTCTGCGGTGGTATCCCTGACATACCGCTACAGCAGAAATATTTATATATTTGAACAATATTTGGATGCTAGGAGTACATACCACGTTAACGTTCTGCGATGCTTTTGTAAATGATGACTTAACTTTCATATTTGCACATATTTACTTCCTAAATTTTATGATCCTTAAATGTGTCACCCATTTTAAGATCAATTTCCTCAATCTCCTGCCTTCCTTTCTTTCTTCTTCGCTTCTTTCTCTGTCTTTGTGTGGTATCTGTGTAACCAGACTTGAAAGACCTGCTGACTTACAATTCCTCAACCAAGAGCAAAGATCCTACCGATCGCTCTGATATATAGTGACGAATAGAAGATGCTGGGGATTTAAGTAAGTTTTGTTTCAGTCTACATATCTCAAATAAGTATTTTCCCAATAAATTGAAATAAAAAGCATTCGTGGTGGTAAATCACATACGAGTATACTCTAATACAGTTTACACAACCTTACAGGCCCAGTTTATTGATAAGCGTCTCAGTGAGACGCTTCAGTCTCTCTGCGCTCGCTCCACTGAATGTCGTGACAACTTTCTTATATCTGATGAAAACGTACGTTGGCATTGAAGTAATGTTGTACTTCAAGGCAATATCTTCACATTCATCCACGTCTACTTTTAGTAGTACTAACATCGGGAACTCGTGGGCGAATTCGGCAAATTTTGGGGCCACCACCTAGGACGAGAAAACAAATCCCAATTTTACGAGCATTAGTTTTAAATGTGGTTTCTATTATTTTTTCGATTTTCTTTCATTACATATGGCAAAAGCAATGCGCCTTAAGCTTTTCCAACCCATAATTGATAGATATGTACCTTTTGTAGTGGTAGGTATTTTTTTTAAATTGCTGGAACTTCAGTTATGTGAATTTCTAGTTTTCGTAGTTTTCAAACAATTGCATAAAGTTTCTAAATATGCGGTTCATATGTTGTTAAGGGTAGACATGTTAGATCAAACAAATGGATACTCTTCGTCACAAATTAATTTGTTTTTAGTCATTAATTAGGAGCAAGTAAATAACAATTTTTAGAACCATTTTTCATTACTCATTTTTAGAAGTTTACAAGAAATGCATTCAAACATAAGAACAAATTCGGTAAACATAGGTAACCGGTACGTTAAATCTTGACTAATTCCAGAATATCACTTAATTACCCTACTTTCCAAATATATAGAATGTCATGTTTTTTGTATTGGTATATTATTCATTATTAAACTGCTTATGTCACTAAAACTATATGTAAACTTGAATAAAAATCAATAAACACATATTTTGTTCAGACTGATCCGAAAATCCTAAAAAACCTTAACCGTATCGAAAAAAAAAAATATTTTTGGAATCTGTTTGAAAAATTGTTTAAGACAAAAGGCTGCTGTTTGAACAAGATTATGCCAAAAAGCAGAATCAGATCTTTTTCGAGCGGATACACGGGTACCTCCTTTCAACTCTGTCTACTTCACTTCCTCTCAAGTTTTAACTACATCTGATGAAACAAAAACAAGGATGTTAGCTTAAATCGGTTTGTACCAAGTCAGGTAGAATTCTGTTGAAAAGTTGAAGTTGCCTTGATCAAACATGCAGTTTATGTATTTCTTCTTTCATCTTTGTACCAGTTGGAATTGGTCGTAATTTATTTCAAAATCGATAACTTGGCATCGATTTCGTCACTATAGACCATAATAGTTGGACTAACCTTGCAGGGACCACACCAATGAGCATAGAATTCTATCACTACCAGCTTGTCACCAGCGAAGTCGAGCCTCGATTCTAGCACGTCTTTGTGCGTGATTGCAGTCACCATCTTAAGAATTTAGTAAAAGTATTCACCATTTGTAAACTTCGTGTGTAAACATTGTCAAAAATACCTATAAAGTTGTCAAACATTGATTGACAATAATTTGAACGAGAGTCTGTGTAGCTGAATGCTGAAATAACATAATCGTTTTGCAGTCGTTACATTTAAACTACCGTAGCCGCTTGTCACCAGCATGCTTTGTGGCTTGCAAGCTCTTAGGAATGGAGTATACCTTTATTTTAATGTAATTATACATAACTTGGTATAAGCATTGATTTGCGTGATTCTTTCATGCGAAAATTGACAAAAATTCAAAGAACATAGTGAATAAAAAAAAACGAATTTTGTTATGTATTATAAAGTTTGTGTAATACGTTGGCCATATAAACAAAATTTGCACTTGCTTTATCATGGCCAACTATCAAACTTGAAGTCTGTGTTGACCTGTTCATTACTACTTTTTACTATAAATCCGGGAGATCCTATTTCAGCCATTTTGTTGTGTTGGAAAATTTTGATTATTTGAATATGGATCATAACAAAGATGGTACGAACTTTTTCATTTGATTTAATACGAATAGGACTATGTCATAATTGTTGATCTTATACAGGGTGTTAATTAAGTACCATACATTTGACAGACGATTCTTTGAGTAATTTTAAGTCAATAAGTTCATATAAACATGGTTCTCAAATTCTTCTTGCTCAAGATACAGGGTGTTAAAATTTTTCGTAAATATCTTAAAAATCATTTACTTGACTGTGTTGAAATTTGGCTGTGGTATTTATAACATTAAGGAGCTAATTTAGCCTTAACTTGATGGAATTCCAGTGGCGTCTAGAGCGGGAGCCGAACGAATATTTGTGACAAAAAATTTACGCCACTGACTATTGTGAAATTTCTATTATGCTCTTTGATTAAGCAAATAGAAGTAAAACTTTTTTGTCTCTTGAATTTTTGTCGTATCTTGCTTAGTTTTCGAGAAAAAAAGTCCACTTAATTGCATATTCTGGAACACGCAAAAATTCTGGAAAGGTTTCTTTTTGAAATTATTATTTTTTTTTCTAATTTTTAGCAAGAGCAAATACTAAATAACATTAACATCTAGCCTAACCAATTTTACTAAATTAAATGTTGGAAATGACCCAATAAGCAGTCTAGCCGCCTCATCATTGAATTACGCACTCTCCTGAAAATACCTGGCGCCTTTTTATTATGTCACATGAATTGATGATTCTACTCCGTAAATCATCTTCACTTTCAATAGGAGTTTTGTATACCTGGTCTCTTAAAATCTGCCACACTATGACATGAGTAATATGCAGTCCTTCAGCTATTTTCCCAGTACTGGTGTGAGGGTTTGCTTCAATTTCATTTAAACCAGCATCTTTATTCAATCAAGTTAGGTCTAAATTAGCTCCTTGATGTTTTAAAATACCACCGCCAAATTACAACAAAATTAGGTAAAGGATATTTACGAAAAACATCTTTTTTTTTTAAATTGTAATACCCTGTATCCTGAGAATTTATGACACATACTTAATAACACCCTGTATACACCGCCTGCTCTTTTTTCTCCATTTTTTGTTACTGTTATTCAGAGAGGTTTTTAATAGGAAATCTCGCTGATATCTAATATGGGCGTTCCTTTGTCATATAGCGGACATGTTTGCAAAAAAATGTTTTGATTGAACTAAAATATAAGTTTTGGATTTTTTGAGGGCCGCTAATAACGAACTTGATATGGATTGTTCAAAACTCAAAATAGCGGATCTAATATCGCGGCTGTGTTTGAAAAATGTTTTTATCGCGGTCAAAATTAGGTTTCAGATAAGGTCGCTAATAACGAATTAAATATCGATACTTTATGTAATATATTATTATCGTATAATGTCGTACAAATGACAACGTTACAGTCAGCTGCAACCAAAATTGACATATTTCTCAATAAAAATTGCTACTATTTGAAATAGAGCTCTAAGGGTCTTTTTTCATATCTTGTTGAATATAATGATCCACTATGAGTTACGTAAAAATATCAATTACATCTAGTTATCGCTTAGTGTCATGTGTTGATTGGCAAGTACATAATATCATAATAATTATACGTACTTTCGACTCCGCAATCCTTTTTCCCACATCCCTATACTTTTTTTAAAACGAGAACTATTTGATTACGAGTATACACTTTTTTGTTGGACTTTTGGCCAGGCTTATTGGTTCCTGGATCACAACTATGTCTCCTCACGTCGAAACGGACAAAGTTCAAGGAGTATCCCCCGTTCCAGCCACAGCATGATCATTATAATAATATTCACATTATCTCGTAAGTCGAAGGTCCCATTCTTTACCCGTATTTACCCTAAATCGTAAAAACCAAGCAGGATACCGTTTGTAAATAGCACAAAGTGGAGGCGGTGGAGGCTGGGGTAATGTGACGTCATCGCTCAGTCACACACTCCAGCCAGACGATTCTCTAAATAAGGTAGAGTAACTTTGTAATTTTCTGAAGATATTAAAAAAATGTCAGTGCTCTACTTCACTTTACTTAGAAAAAGTAGAAAGCTTCCTCATAGGGATAAATGGTGTCTATGAACCTTATAATACTGATACAAAATCTAGGATCAGTATTTGCCAGGGTTTTTGTAACTTTTGCAAAATTTTAAGAAATGTATGTAGCTTTATGTACTACTATAGGGCGGCTAGTCGGAATCCATTACATACTTAACTGTGTTTTTGACTTGTCCTTAGAGTGGCCTTGAAATGCCCTTCAAATGCCTTCATGCCCTAACAGGGATCAATCGATTTTTCGACCGTGATGTGACCTAGACGTGTATTTTTTCGTCAGGTTTTCGGTTTCGGTCTAGGTTACTGTGCGGCGTCAAGCACTTACAACTATACGTATATACAAGTCGACCACAGTCTTTAGGTGCAAGTGTTGCCATCTCTCGGACTATTGCCGCAGGTGATGAGATTTTCTTTTCCCTTGAATGAGGAATCCTGGGAATACGAATTCTTAGGAATGCTCTCCCTTTTCTTTGGAAGTTTGGATTCTTTTTAAGAATAAACAATTTTCTTTTAAGGAAAAATGGAGTCTGGTTTCAAAATAAAGGGTTTTTCATTAAGTGTGTCTGAAATTTAAAATTGAATAAAACGAGTTGTGTGCGAAAGATGATGTAAACTTTAATTGCGTATTAAAGTACATTCAATACCATTTCGTTGTTAAAATTAATTGCATCATGCTTTGCTTACGGGACTCGATCCGAGAGGTCCGATTTTGTAAAACTGTGCTGCATAAGTCGGGTTGGATCTCACCAATGGTTTGAATGATGTTGTTCTCCAGTTGGTAAATTGTTGTTGGTTTGTTGCCATAAACCAGCGAATTAACGTAACCTTAGAGAAAAAAGTCTAAGGGCGTTAAGTCGCACGATCTTGGCGGCCATTCCACATCGCCTCGTCTGGAAATAACGTGTCCTGGAAACTTTTCTTGCAACAACTGCAATGTAATGGCCGATGTGTGACACGTACACGTTGCGCCGTCTTGTTGGAACCACATGTCGTGGAGGTCCATATCATCCAATTGAGGCCATAAAAAGTCAGTTATCGTGGCCCGATGCCGGGCGCCGTTGACAGTCACCGTCTCGCCATCCTCGTTTCGGAAGATGTACGGTCCAGTGATGCCCTCTGACCAAAACCCACACCAAACAGTAAGTTTTTCCGGATGCCATGGAGACTCTTGATACTGTTGTCGATTACTGTCTCCCCAAATGCGATAATTTTGTTTATTCACGAAGCCGTTTAACCAAAGATGTGCTTCATCACTGAAAATGATTCTTTTGCCAAAATTTGGATCCGCTCCCAACTGTTCCAGAGCCCAATCAGCGAAAGTACGACGCGCTTGGTGGTCTTGGGGTTTCCGTTCTTGCGTCAACTAGATCTTATATGGATATCTGCCCAAGTCTTTTCGTATAGTTCTCTAAGTCGAGGTCGCAGAAAGGCCAATTTGCTTGTGCACGATGCGGAATAGAAAGGTTTGGGTCTTGAGCTCTTTCGGCAACAGCAGCAATATTCTCGCTTGACCGCATGTTTATCCATCTTACAGTAACTGCTCGATCAGCAACCGAACCGTCTTGCTCGAATTGGGCGATAATTAGTTGAATTGTTCGCTCTGCTGGACGATTATTTCGGCCTTAAATATTTCGTAGCTCCCGAAAAGTTTGACGAATAGAACACGAATTGTTATAAGAGATTTTAACAATGGTGAGGCGTTCGGGCACAGTGTAGCGCTCCATGGTAAAATGGTGACTATGACAGAACACCTTTGTGTGCGAGGAATGATAGCCGGGCCACCTGAAACGTTAGAGCAAGATGTTGCCAAATTTCTGACATAGCTATTGAAAAACCCGTTATAATAATCATTTTAACTGGGTGCATTTTCAAGGGTATAATCCGCCATGTTTATCTGACCGAATCAAACCACATAATATATGTTTAAATTTCCTCTTTATTGTACGACGTTTCGGTCCCAACGGTGACCTTTTTCAAGTACAATTGACACTTTTTACAGTATATTTATCTGCATTCCAGCTGACACTTCGTTTGTTTTTTCCTTTTTCATTTACACATTCCTATAGAGTGAGTTACTACAATAGTTTGAACGGGCAAGGACCGCCTGGGATAGGTATTCCGTTCCTAAATGGACGTCCAACCCTCCAAAGACGCTCCAAAAATACGTAACACGTGTTACAAGCAGTAAATACACTGAAGTCGGATGCAAAGGGAGTTGACGGTCTATCTTTGTCATTGATCCGATTGTGCCTACCGGTTGTTCTCTTTCAGAACGTAAACTCGTAAACTCAAATGTTTTTTATTTCGCCATAAGCACCTAAGAGTGTGTGCGCGAGACATAATATGACATTGACGTTGATTTGACACCTGACAGTGTTCCGCTCCAAATTCAAATTTTAAGTCTACAAATTGAACGTTTTGCTGTAACAAAGCTATAAATTATTCTAGTAAATAAATTTGTAGTGGAGTTCAAAACCGATGCAGATCCAAGTAAAAATATTGCCGAACTCATTGCGGCAAGATGAATGGGTAATGGTATTCTGGA